GTTGGACTTTTTTCTGTTGGACATTTCCCTTTCCCTTTCCCTGCTGCCGGGAAATTAAGAATGAAAACCGGACATTCAGAAAAAATCACCAGACGAATGCAGAGAAAAGCAACGGGTGAAAACTTATAACATATACAATAGAGAAACGATGAATATACTCTCATATATGGATTTTACTTCCAGGAAATTCTGAGAATAAAGATGAAATAATTTAGGGCCGTGTGCAACGATAATAAATCCGCAATTCAATGACCAATAAGAGTCCCAGGTTGTTAATATATCAAAAAACACAACGCATCAAAAGGACAGATGATGACTCCGGATGATTAGATACAAATGTATCTTTTCTTGGCATCTTTTCCCTGCTCCCTTCGTTTAAATGATGTTAGTTCATCATAATCATATAGTTATATAGACATTATTATTGCTGTTGTAGAACTATATGCTCACCAACAGCATTCAGTGGCACGTATGTATTATTGTGGATTTTTAAGAACTAGGTAACAAAGCAATCATTTTATTATTGAAAGTCAGAAATTCACAAATTGGAAGTCGCTTTCTTCTTTTCTTTTGTGATCTGCCCTTTCAGAAACCTGTCAAAAAGCGTCATTCCTCTGTCGGCCAAGTCCTCAGACTTCCCGAAAGTCGACAGTAGAGGCTCTGCAACAGGGCTTAACAGAGAGTTGTCACCGAGGCTGTCGGCGACCAGGCTGCTGGAACTGAGAACCAAGGGACGCCGTTGACTGCAAGGGCTATAGAAGTACTTATTTACAAGGTCTCCTGCGCAGCTTTGGGTAATAAGGCCTATGACGTCACTTGGTGAGAGCTGAGAGCAAGGGGGGCGGGGGGAATTAGAGCATGGTAGGCAGGGACATAGATAATAGAAAATGGTAGTAAATGAGCAGATACTTGAGTAATTTCAGATGTCGGCACGTTGAACGATTTGCTTATTGGACATGTTTTGCAGGCGATGATTATCAGCGATTGTTTGTAGGCCTATATCATATATTCTACATGAATTTAGTTTTGTAATTCATATGTTGCAGCTTAGACATGGCATAATAAAGATGTAAAATAAATAAAAAAGACATGGCATATGTAAACTCCAAATGTTTTTGATGAATTTATTATAAAACGATTCATACAACAATAACAATAATAATGATAATAATAATAATAATAATAATAATAATAATAATAATGGCAATACATAAACATACACATAAATGTACATATATAAGCTGCAACCAACCACTGGGCATCGTGACTTTGCGCGCGCCAGTCAGTCAAGCGAGCGAAAACGGAGAGAGGGAGAGATCCTTACGGCTCTCCCTCACATCAAAGAATGACCACGCGATTAGCGTGGAACCCCCAGGCTCTGCTCCAGATGACGTCATGCGCGAGACGGACGAATTTGAGTCCCTGGGGCCCTCACACGATCAATTTTTTCGTCAATTAATTGATATCAATTTATTGACGTCAATGAATTGATGGAAATCACTGTGCCCTCACACGGTCAATGATTTTACTTCAATTTTCAGTTTGATTCATAATTTCGAGATGAAAGCATCTGTGACACTTGGAGTAGTGCTTGCTCTGGACACCAAAGCGAAAGAAGAGGAGTAAGTGGGTAAAGAAATGGTATCTCTGTCGAAGGGAACAAGGACATACAAGATTGCTGAGGGAATTAAGGGAATTAAGACGAAGAGAGGATTACAGGAATTTCCTCAGAATGGACGCCGAATCTTACGACGAACTTCTAAATTTAGTGATGCCAATGATAGTTAAACAAAATACTACCATACGAGAAGCCATTTCTCCAAATGCGCGTCTCAGTATGACATTACGCTCAATTTTATTGAAGACCCATCAATAAAGGGGCCCTCACACGATCAATTTTTTCGTCAATTAATTGATATCAATTTATTGACGTCAATGAATTGATGGAGAAATTGACCGTGTGAGGGGGACATTGATATCAATTTAATTGAAACAATGTCATTGAGTCAATTCATTGATAGATCAAAACTCCTTTGATATTTATTGATGGGTCTTCAATAAAATTGAGCGTGTGTGGGCAAAGCGTCAATATTGATCAATAATTGAGTGTTTTCCCTTGCAGCAGTGAAAGAGTCGTCATCGTAATCATGGCTGAAAAGAAGAAAGAAAGTGAGCGTAAAATGATGATGGAGATAATCGACGTTTATAGATCCTTATCGGCCTTGTGGAAAATAAAATCCGACGAGTACAGTGACCGGGAGAAAAAGGCTGACGCATATAAAATATTGTTTGGAAAATATAAAGAACATTATCCAAATGCTACACTGGAAGAAATGAAAAAGAAAATAAATACCCTTCGCACGAATTTCCGGGCTGAATTGCGCAAAGTGGAAAGGAGTGAAAAATCTGGAGCTGGAACAGAAGATATCCATGTGCCACGATTATGGTATTTTGATTAGAAAGTCATTATTACCCACTTACTCCTCTTCTTTCGCTTTGGTGTCCAGAGCAAGCACTACTCCAAGTGCCACAGATGCTTTCATCTCGAAATTATGAATCAAACTGAAAATTGAAGTAAAATCATTGACCGTGTGAGGGCACAGTGATTTCCATCAATTCATTGACGTCAATAAATTGATATCAATTAATTGACGAAAAAATTTATCGTGTGAGGGCCCCTTTAGTAACGAGACCTGTACTTATATAGACCTTGGCGGCAACAGCGTGGTCCTCCCGCGCGAGATAAACGACAGTCAACCAAGGTCTAAATAAGCAAGGTCTATATAAGTACAGGCCTCGTCACTAAGCGACTCGTTCGTCTCGCGCATGACGTCATCTGGAGGCAGAGCCTGGGGGTCCGACCTAATCGTGAGGTCATTCATGGATGTGATGTAGAGCCGGAAGGATCTCTCTTGCTCTCCCGTTTTCGCTCGCTTGACTGACTGGCGCGCGCAAAGCCACAATGCCCAGTAATTGTTCAGTGGTTGGTTGCAGAATTTGGATCGCCCTAAAGATGTTATTCATCACCGATGTTTATGTATTGTTATTATTATCATCATTACAATTATTATTGTTATTGTTGTATGATTTGTTTTATAATAAATGCGTCAAAAACATTCGGCGTTTAAATATGCCATGTCTTCTTTCTTTATTTTACGTCTCCTTTATGCCATATCTAAGCTGCAACATGAGAATTAAAAAACTAAATTCATGTAGGATATGTGATATAGGCCTATAAACAATCGCTGATAATCATCGCCTATAAAACCTGTCCAATATGCAAATCGTTCAACGTGCCGATATCTAAAATTACTTAAGTATCTGCTCATTTACTACCGTTTTCTATTATCTTTTCTCCACCCTACCATGCTCTATTCCCCTCCCCCCCCCCCGCTCCCTTGCTCTCAGCTCTCACCAAGTGACGTCATAGGCCTTATCACCAAAGCTGCGCAGGAGACCTTGTAAATAAGTACTTATAAAGTCCTTGCAGTCAACGACGTCCCTTGGTTCTCAGTTCCAGCAGCCTGGTCGCCAACAGCCTCGGTGACAACTCTCTGTTAAGCCCTGTTGCAGAGCCTCTACTGTCGACTTTCGGGAAGTCTGAGGACTTGGCCGACAGAGGAATGACGCTTTTTGACAGGTTTCTGAACGGGCAGATCACAAAGAAAAAGAAGAAAGCGACTTCCAATTTGTGAATTTGTGACTTTCAATAATAAAATAATAATTGCTTTGTTACCTGTTTTAAAAATCCACAATAATACATACGTGCCACTGGATGCTGTTGGTGAGCATATAGTTCTATAACAGTAATAATGTCTATATAACTATATGATTATGATGAACTAACATTTTTAAACGAAGGGAGCAGGGAAAAGATGCCAAGAAAAGATACATTTGTATCTAATCATCCGGGGTCATCATCTGTCCTTTTGATGCGTTGTGTTTTTTTTTATATATTAACAACCTGGGACTATTATTGGTCATTGAATTGCGGATTTATTATCAAGTTTTCACCCGTTGCTTTTTCTGCATTCGTCTGGTGATTTTTTTCTGAATGTCCGGTTTCATTCTTAATTTCCCGGCAGCAGGGAAAGGGAAGGGAAATGTCCAACAGAAAAAAGTCCAACTTAGTGATCAAGTGTATATATTACAGGGCAATGACGTGTACAAACGCAGGCTAAAACATTTATTCTATATTCCCAGACAACATTCGCATTACAGTGGGCGGCGACGCCAGGCCGAGCCATCAGCAGAAGTCCTCGTAGATGGTTGGGTCAAGGTTCGCCAGCAACTCTCCGTCGTAGCAAGAGGCGCCAGGGGAGATGAGGCTCATGTAGGCGGAGTTGGTGACGAGCCACGCGATCTCGCAGCCGCATCCGAGAGGGTTATCTGGGAGGAAAAGGGAATTCGACTCGGTAGCCCCTGGATGGCTTCAGCCCTTGATACAGCCCAGACAAAGAAAGAGGAAGGGAATGGAGATGGAATAGTTAAAAGCAAATGCAAAATAGAAAAGATGAAAAGGAAAGAACGCAGACTAAACAAGATGAAAGAGAAATAAAACCGTGAAAAGGGAATTCGACTCACCGTCAATTTCGAGCGTGGCTCCTGCTGACAGGAAAGCCCCGAAAACGTCCTCTTCAAGAACCGTCAGCGAATTCTCGTTAAGTTGAACCTCGCCGTCGCCAAGACCTTGAAGTTAACAGTATCAGTGAATTCATTGTATATATATGTCTATAAAATAAAAATAGAAATTAATGAATATATCCTGAGCCTATGTTTTTGAACGTGTAAATTGATGTTCGTATATAAATATAGATCATAGGGCGTCCATCGTAGGAAAAGAAAAGCATCAGCAGTATCTGATTCGGCAACTCTCTTTCGGGAAAAAATACTGTGATGTGAAGGAATGAACAAAAGATATAAGACTGAAGAAAATTCCGATATATGTAAAAAACATAAATGATAAGTGTCAGCTGATTGGAATAAAAGACAGAGGGCGA